GTTAAGGTCATCATGTTGGGATTAGAGTTTTCCCCACAGAAGTGAATGGAGAGTCCCCACAAAGATATAATTATAAATCTGTGTGTGTGTGTGTGTGTGTGCATTCGCATGTGTGTATGTTTGAAATGGAGGGCAATTAATTATTCAATCATTCAAAACAAAACTTCAGCTGTTAGGCAAAATAAAGGAATATTTACCAATATTCCTTTGTTTTTTTGTGGCAAAGAACTGGTATAATTCTAAGTGAAAGAGCCAAGAGTTAAAAATACTTTGATTTGTTCTTGTTCATTGTAGGAAATTTCATGTATATACTGTAAACAAAAACAATCTTTTTTCAGTTTTTTTTTAATTATTGTACAAACAGAACGTGTCAGTCGTGCAATTAAGTCTTATGGGAAATATGAGGATGGGATGCAATTTGTCCCGAATGTTCAGGGTGCGCAGTTGACCTGCCCAGCAAATTTTTTGGTTGTAGACCTGGAGAGGTGAGGGGTGGCTCTTTTTTCTATTAAAAATGAAACTGGCAACCTTAGTGAGGACTGATAGTTTTATCGATGATGGCGTGTGTCTCCAGTTAGTCAAACATAACAACATGCCACATAGGTAGGGTGACCATACGTCCAGCTGGGATTTCTACATTGGCTAAAATGTAGGTTATTTCACTTCGTTTCGTGTTGAGATGTGCAGTCAGAATACTTTTATGTGCGTGTTGTATTTGCTTTGACACCTTTCTTAACATCCTGCCAGGTTGACACCTGGTCAACCTCAGTGCAGCATGTGATACCATCTCTCACTCTTTGCTGCTTGAAAGGCTGGTTAGCAATGGGCTGGGTTCCCCAATTCCAGCCCTGGAGGACTAGTTTACAAGAACATAAGAACTATACAAACGAGAGGAGGCCATTCAGCCCATCGAGCTCGCTTGGAAAGAACTTAACTAATAGCTCAGAGTTGTTAAAATCTTATCTAGCTCTGATTTAAAGGAACCCAAGGATTCAGCTTGCACTACGTTATCAGGAAGACTATTCCATACTCTGACTACACGCTGTGTAAAGAAGTGCTTCCTTAAATCCAGTTTGTCCTAATTTCCACCTATGGCCACGAGTTCTTGTATTTGAACTAATGCTGAAGTAACTATTCGGTTGAACAGCATCCAAACCTGTTAGAATCTTATAGACCTGGATCATGTCCCCCCTCAGTCTCCTTTGCTTGAGGCTGAACAGATTTAGCTCAACTAACCTTTCCTCGTATGACATTCCTCTAAGACCAGGAATCATTCTTGTGGCCCTACGCTGCACAATCATTCTTGTGGCAAGAGAGGTTGCAAATGTCCCATTCAATTGTATATAATATGTGCCAGTGGGAGTAATCCCATGAACTGACACAGAGAAATGTGGGAGAGTCGGACATGGAAGAACAACGAAGACTGCATGTCTTTCCACACTCTCGGCAACCATATTAGTGAAGCTCATAAATTTCAGAGTATACCTGCTAGTAGAGAGAGACCTGTTTGATTCATTGCAGTGAAGGACAGGGTGCCCGAATCGTTTGTCCGGCTTCAGGACAGGGGGCAGGTGAGAGACTCAACCGCTGGAAGGGAGTGAACTGGTAGGCTGGTTGTATTTTCCTTTGGCTTTTCAGAGTTAATTGGGTATTCCATTTTTCACCCCCATGAACACAAGTGGTGGGTCAGGCCTGCTACGATAACTTCCCTGTATTTCAGTCCTTTTAAGGGCTGAAATAAAGAGTAACTTTGTGTCAATCCGCCTCGCTTTGTCTTTATTCGCCGGCGCAGTGATGCCTCGGTCTGCCAGATGTCACACTGGTGTCAGAAGTGGGATATAGCCCTACTGGATCTGTTGGAGTAGGTGCTTCTCAACATCGTGCAGCAAGTCCGCTCCAGCCTGGCAGACCTTCAGGCAGCGATGTAGTAGTGGAGTGGTACTGATTTTGTGGCGAGGTTGGCTTGGGAGAAGAAGCTTGTCTGCTGGTACTGCAGGAAGAAGGGGCACTGGTGAAGACATTGGTGCTTAGCAGGCTTGCCGGTGGTGAGAAACAATGGTGCAACCTCAGCTGTGAGGGTGACCACAGGAGGCAGCAAGCTAAGGCTGCAGAGGCGACGCTGCTTGCCCATGAAGAGGCATGCCATGGTATGAAGGTCCACCTAGATCAGGAACAACATGAGCTGGACGAGTGGCAGCCACAGTTTGAGCAGGACAAGGAGCAGCTGCAGGAGGAGCAAACCAGCTGGGATTGTGAGCATGATCACCTCACGGACTGCGAGGAAGTGCACTATACCTTGGAGGACCAGCTGGCCCAGTAAGCTGGCAAGCTGGTTGAACAACTGTGGCAGCTGCAGGAGGAGGAGGACGAGCTCCAGAGGTTCTGCATGGAGGAGCTGGACCACCTGTGGTTCTCAAGTTGAAGCAGAAGACCATGGTTGGGTTGCGTGGCCAGGAGGAGGCCCAGCTGGCTATGGAGCACTAGGAGCTGCAGGAGGAGATGGCCTGCTGGGCAGACCCCCTCTAATCTGTGGAAGTCAAACGGTGAGCATCCAGGGGAATCGGCAACATCAATGCCCGCCAGCAGCCCAGCATCCGCCAGCCTCCTGGTCTCCTCAGCCCCACCGGTGCTGGCAAGCATGGGTCTAACGGCTTCCCCTCCTGTCATTGGGGACGCACCGGCGGCTACGGCCAGAGCTTTGGAGCTTGTCCCATAGCTGAGGTGGGGACTGGGGGTCGCCAGGACGGCTGACCTTTAAGTGGGAGGCAGTGTAGCATCGGAGGGACTTGCATATCCTGATATGCTCACAACGGTTCCATGTGTGTGGAGTTTGTGTGTTCTCCCTGTGTACTCTGGTTCCCCCCTACACCCCAAAAACATGCTGAGGGTAATTGGGATTATCAAATTGCCCGTAGGTTTGTGTGCGCTGTGATGAGTTGGTGCCCCGTCCTGGGTTGTTCCACGCCTTGCACCTGTAGCCTCTGGGATAGGCTCTGGCCCCTGAATAGGATAATGGATGGTTGAATGGATCATGTAGGATCTGGCCATATAGGTTATTTAGGCTTTTATTAGTCTTGTTATGTATTGAAGTTCATTAACATAGTTACATGGTTTTGGTTGCATTTGTGAAGTACCTACACACGCATTAATATTGTGCCGTCCCCCCAGCTGCTGTCCTCCACCCCTGTGCCACCCTCCTGCCCTCAGTGTCCTCTTTCATGAAAACCTTAATATGGTCGCCCTAATTTAGGGGACACAATGAGGGTGAAAACTCTGACAGCAAACGAAACTATAGATGTGCTTTCCCACTACAACAATGTTCTGGGTTTTTGCTGTGTGTTTTGTGTTGCAATGTAATGTACAGCAAAACTGTAATGCACAGCCATGTAACCTGCTTTTTAAAATAAAAAGCAAATTATAAAACAACTACTTGATACGTAAATGAAGAATTAGATGATCATAACTCCTAATTTCCAACATGGACTGGGATAAAACTTTGTCTGGGTATGGGGCGCCAAGTGTGAAGTGCTCATTTTCAATGAAATAATGGAATAACATAGATTTCTTGGTTGAGTGTGAGAATCTAGAAGCGTGAGAGTTGGTAACCCTGTAACCTGTTTGCTTCTGGCTAGCTAAGGCTAATGCTACGTGCACAGAAAACAAGACGGGAAAAAGAATGTTACTTTCTCAATGATATATACTCATCAAATCCTATGTTAAACTGCCAAGACCAAGCCACCAAAGTGCACGAGCGAAAGTACAATAAGTGCTTTGAGATAATGTAACGTTGTGAAAATGTGCTGAATAGATGAAATTGAATTGAATGTTTACGTACAGTACTGTATTACAGTGTATTTTATGTAATGTATAAATATACACAGTTCAGTAATTTAATTTCTACAGTACTGTAATTTGAAAAGCGTTTGAAACAGCACTGTACTGTATTTTGAAATAATCCATAAATAGGCATAATATTCAGTCATATTTGAGTCTGTGACTCATTGTGTTAATCCATTCATATTCCCCATTTTATTATAGCATATTACATGCAGGCTACCCAGTGTGTCTGATCAGTGTTATTCAGGGGAAAAGGGCATGGTGACATAGCATACAGTTGGAGAGAAGCAGTGCCGAGAGCTTTCATTGGCTTGGCTTAAAAAAATGTGACACTAATGAGTACATACAACAGTAAAAGTATGAGCCCAGGAGTTATTTGTATTTTTATTACATTTAAATGCAAGTTACACGTAATTACACGCCTCTGCAAAACCAAAGCCGGCACTCCACCTTCTGGTCATTGAAGGTACTACCCACATCCCCCACGGGTGCGCGCCTACTATGTATCTGTCCTGACTCAACCACATTCAAAATGCATTTTGTGATTACAAAGAATCAATTTTGTCCACGAAATGCATTGTGTCCACAGAATGATTGTGCATGATTCATGAAATGCATTTGCATCAAGAAGACAAACAAGCAAAACATTCAATTTAGTTAAATGTGGAATTAGCTCAAAATAACATTAATTCAAAAGCACAATTAAGTAATTCACATGCATGTTTTAGGGATTATGTGATCTCGATTTAGTATTTCATGGGAATGTTAAATTAAGCACAAAGATTTAATAGGCTTACATTGCACGGCCACACACAGACACACACACACACACACACACATGTGTGGATGTGTGTGTGTATGAATGGGGACTCTCCATTCATTTTTAAGGACATAACCCTAATCCTTAACCCCTACCCAGCCCTAACCTTAAAAGTAAGTAACCAAACAAAATATAAGACTTTTGATTTTAGTTTTTGTCTGATTGCAGACAGACTTTTCATAAAATTGAAGTGAAAATGATGGTCCCCATAACATCATAGTAACAGGTTTTTTTTTATATATCACATTCCTATAATGTAACCATATATACTGTATAACCCGCACGCATGTATGCATGCACACAGAAATTGTCTGTGGCCCCTCCTGGGCTGTATGTACCATTAGTGCATCTTTTACAGTTATTTTTGTTATGCAACAATTTTTTTTTTCACATTTCCAGTTCATCCATTCATTACATGTAGAAATTTTATGTCGGTGAGTGTGCGGGGGGTACGGAGTACGTGGCCGGAGCAGGTGATGGGGCTGTCTGGGGAATACAATGCTACTGGGCCAACAGCCCCCCTTCAAGGCTTCCATAATGCAGTCTGTAGTTACATATTTTTGAAACCCCATGTTTATTTAGGAGATTACACGTTTTACATCTTTCTACCATGGTCTTTACAAGAATACCAGCTTATATAGGATTATACATGAAGATTATTCACAATTTACCATTAGGCAAGCAGATAACTATATTAATCAGCTTTATACAGTTTACATCTGGCAACTTACAATATGTCCAATGAGCATAAGTACATAAATTTGAACACAGCCTGTACTGTAGGTGTCTTTCTGTAAAAGTGAACCAGCATTATGTACTTTTAAAATAAAACAAGCATCAAGATTGTGTATCAAACTGATGTTTCAGTCTGGTGACCTCACACCTGCATACACACTGTCCTGGTTCGTCTCTCTCTTCTTTCTTCGACAATCAGGGTTCTTCTGAGTGAAGCGCAGTGCAGCGTAATTTAGCATCTCAGGATTATGATTCTAAGGCAAAGGGAAGTTCAGATGTAATAAGAGGAAGAAAGTGGGTGTAATAAAATCTGTACAGTGATGAAGGTTAAAATAAAATTCACTGTTTACCTGGTTGCTTCTTTTTTTTGCATTGAGGTCATTAAGGTGGCCTGCCTCTGAGTCACATGCTATTAACATACATAAAAATAAAACATATATATACATTTTATATGTCTGTTGTGTCCAAAGAAATTAGCAATACTTATGAATAGTTTAAATGCTAAAATGCACAAAATGGACAAAAGTATTGGGACACCTGGCCATTACACCTACATACATTTTTCTGACGTCCCATTCTAAATCCATAGGTATCAATATGTAGTTGGTCCCCTTCTGTAGCTATAATAGCTGCCATTCTTCTGCCAAGGCTTCCTACAAGATCTTCGAGTGTGTCTGTGGGAATTTTGCCCATTCATCGAGAAGATCATTTGTGAGGTCAGGCACTAATGTTAAATATGAAGGCCTGGATCACAATTTCCATTCTTTTCATCCCAAAGGTGTTTGATGGGGTTGAGGTCAGGGCTCTGTTGGTTACAGTTTATGGACCTTGCTTTGTACACTGGGCTGGCACAGAAAAGGGCCTTCCCCAAACTGTTCCACAAAGTTGGAAGCATTGAATTGTCATTGAATTGAAGAGTTCCCTTCACTGGAACTAAGGGGCCAAACTCAACCCCTGAAAAACTACCCCATACCATTATCCATCCTCCACCAATCTTTACACTTGGCACAATGCGGTCGGGCAAGTATCGTTCTCCTGGCATCTGTCCAGCCAGACTTGTCCATCAGACTACCAGAGGGAGAAGCATGATTTGTCACTGCAAAGAACACATTTCTATTGCTCTAGAGTGCAGTGTCGGCATGCTTTACACCTCTCCATCCCACGCTTGCCATTGCACTTAGTGATGTGAGGCTCGCATGCAGATGCTCATCTTTACACACTATGCGCCTCAGCACTCGGAGACCCAGGTCTATTACTTAAGTGGTGCCTGAGTTTCTGTTGTTCCTAAATGCTTCCACGTTGCAATAATATCACTTACAGTTGACTGTGGAATATCCAGCAAGGAAGAAATTTCATGAACTGACTTCACCGCGTTCTTCAGAAAGGCCTATTTTTTTTCATACAGTCAGGTTTGTAAACCTGACTGTAAGGCTGAATGCTTGATTTTATACAACTGTGGCAATGGGTCTGAATGAAACTCCAGAATTCAATGATTCGGAGGTGCGTCACAATACTTTTGTCCATATAGAGTATAATAATTTACTAGATGATCAAGAATATTCTTGATCATTATTCTCTGTTTACTTCAGTCAATGTATTTTCTTTTTTACTTATTTACTCATACGTGCTGTCTACATATATACCTCACCTTTTTAGACACTTTATGATGCTTCTGATTCAATCATTTATTATTTATTTTTGCCATTTATTATTTATTTTGTCATCATGATACAAACTAACGTAGCCTACCTGCACGATGTTTACAGCATGTCCTCTTATTTCTGAGGCAGGCAAGTACAAAAATGACAGTCACACACAAAAATAGAGCAGCTCCCAAGCCGATGATTATGGAATCCTTAATGCAAGATCCTATAAGAAATTAAATTCATTTTTTTATATTTCATAAAATAAAATCCAGTAATACATTGTGAGTGACAGATGCCACAGGATCATCTCTGGTTTATCTACAATGTTGTATGATGTTTCTATGAGTTAGATGGCAGAGACAAATCCTTTACTGTTTTGTTACACAGAGGGACATTTTAATGTTTTCATTGTGCTGTACTCCATCTTTATTTAATATACAGTATATATATTGTTGTTCTCCGTTTCTTGTTCAAAGTTAGCATGGTCATCACAAAGCAATACTACCATTTCCTGATGCAGAATTTAAAAATGAAAGATTGGAAAATAAAATATCTTTCCTAACATAGGGGCGGCCTGGGAGAATTGATTTTTTTTTCATTTTAGAAAATTATAGAAAGATTACACACTTGGCACAACTGGATTGAATTTCATATATTACAAATGGAAACTGTGACCACGATAATGGGTTGGAAGAATCTATTGATGGATGTCAAACTTGTAAAGCCTGAATTTTCCATATTATCTAGGAATTAATTTTTTTCTCTTAATTTTTGTCTTGAAATGCTAATCTAGATGTTGGTTGAAGAGAAAAGTTATTGAAAACTTACCTTCTACGTGAATCTTTGTCCCATTGCCAAACAGCATCTCCCCACACATGGCCACAGCGCAGTAGTAAGTCCCAGCATCAGAGAGGCTGAGGTTCCTCTTGGGGAGGCTGTAGACACAGCTCCGTGTAGGAGATCCAGCCTCAGGGCTCTTCTCACACTCATCACTCCTGTTTCCGTAGCTGTAAATGACTCCTGGAAGGGATTCTCCTGATCCATGTCTGAACCAGTAAACACTGTGTTCTCCTGCACAGCTCCCAGTCTCTATTGTACACTGCAGGGTCACAGAGTCTCCTGGCTGCACTGTGTCAGGCACAGGCTGCTGTACTACTGTGTGAATTTTAGGCTTGAATCCTGGAAGAAGGTCATGATTTTCATCAATCAGTTTTCATGGTCACTTTTAAAATGTGGTGCCTGAAAATTGTACATATATAATTATTACAGAATACAGCTGAGTGAATCAGTCATCAAGGGTTGTAATAAAGTTCATATTATAGTTATTCATTAGCTTGTCTGTAATTTCTTTTTATATGTTTATAAAGTTTATGAAAGTTTCATATTTACCTGATATGATTAAAAAGGTTGCAGTAGGAATGTGAAATTTAAGGAAGTGGCCAAAGAGTGCACAGTAATATATACCAGAGTCAGAGGTCTTTGCCTTGGAAATTCTCAGATTAAACATGTTTTGCTCTTTCTGCAGAGTAAATCTCTGCCTGTCATTAATCTCTTCGTAAGATGCGTATTCTGTTGCTGTATGTGCAGCTAATATAACCTGTGTCATCTTTCCAACAATATGCCTGAACCAAACAACGTTTGCAAACCTAATATCAGATGTAGTGTTGCATGTGAGTACCACATTTTCCCCAGGCTGTACTCTCACTGCTGCCTTTAGCTGAAAAATGTCTTCTGTAATCATCATACCTTGTAAAACACAGTAAATTGGTGCATTATTACTCAAGTATTATGAAAATCCAAATAAATGTTATAACAAATCATTCTAGCAAATCTGAATTAATTTAAGTTTCCAATAATATCCAATTCTCTGGTAGCCATACTCTTCCACTTACCCATTTCAGCGATCAGCATAAGAGCCACAAAGATTCTGATCATCATTGCAGAGCTTGTCCCCTTGTCAGCCCCAAAAATGTGGTTGTATTGTTAGAAATCAAAGTGTCATTAGAATCTTCATAATAATGGGTGGAGCAGGGTATATATATATATCAGCTGATTGGTTGATTCACTGATCTAATTTTTCCGCTGAGCTATTTTTTCCATTCATATCAGCAATATGATAGGAATTCCTGTACATGTGTTAATGGGTACCAACTCTAATGTTATCTTTATGGATGTTAAGGACATTCAAATAATTTAAGGACATTTAAATAATTTACAGTAAAGTTTGTAATACAATTACCACCTGCACTTGCATATACGGATTTTAATACTGTGAAACTGAAACACAGTTAGTAATTGGAACTTTGATGATTTTCTGATTTTTGTTTGTTTTAGAGTAATTCACTATACTCTGTAATCACATTATGTAAGTACTGCTAATATAAATTATTTTTTGACATCAGCTTTGTAATATGAGCATTGTCTATGTAAATTCAGTTTAAACAAGGCACTCATGGTTCACTGTTTTCACATCAGGATTCAAATGCAGTCAATAAGCATTATTCTGGATCATTCTAAGCCAGGCTAAACACTGTGATTCACACTTCTGGTCTTTGTAATTTTACTGTACGTTAACCGTTCTTGGAAAATTGCCATTGCTTTCTGATATACACTGAAGTAGTATGCTTCGAATATGCATTACTATTATCCATATCATTTTAGCATCTTCTAAATCTTTGCATTGACATTATGTTCACTGCTACCATTAGGTAAACCTAGAAACATAAGATCTGTCACAGCTAAAAGACAGAAGACCGAGGAAAGTCTGTAGCAGACCCCTACCATAGAACACAGAGAAACCTGAAAGTGGTGCTAGCTTTGCTGTTTTTGTCTTTCCACTTTGCACTGCCTATGTGGCACTTCAAAAGGGAGCTTTAAACAACAGAGGGTTTCAAGTTAAAACAGAAGAATCACAAAAAGGAATCATATATAAGAAAATCAGTTTTTTTAAAGAGAGTGATTAAATTTTCCTATTAAATTTTGCAGAAATCTAAAAATATACTGTATAGCAAAATCACAAATACAAAGTATCTTCCTTTGATTAGGTCCTGTGCAGCATTTACAGTACATGACTCATGAGTGCCACCATCTGGTCACACACTCACATGCCTATGCATATCTATGAATGTGCCACAGAGGCCTGAATAAGCCTGACCAGGTTGCCTTTGCTTAGAAAATTCTCAGGGTGTTAAAAAATGAATGTTTAATTGTGTGCACATTTATAGAGGTTAGTATTGTTATTATTTTTTAATTTTTTCAAAAATATTCTCAGCATTCAAAAAGATTTCAAAAAAGTTATGGCCTTAACATGACCTAATTATTAAACAATGGCATCCCAGCATTTCAATTTATTTTTATATGGCATACCAAGGCACATATTAGTGATGTGTCAAAATCCATCATTACAACATATGTTCAGATAGAACGACATAAAGACTAAGGACAAAGGAGGTGAAGAATCAAAAATTCCCAAATAGGGAGGAAAAAAAACCTCTGGGGGTCCAAAATCTGACTGTCCAGCCCCTCCGGACATAACATTACAGGAAATGGAAAAAAATGGGCCTGCTGCTTTAACAAAAGCAAGGTGTTAGCTGAGGTCATGGTCAAAG